ACACAGATTTGGGGTTACATCATTTACTGAGCTAGCATAAGCTATACCAAATGACTAGATGGAAGTATGATTGATATTCCCACCCAAAGTAGTTCCTAGAGTAACAATGGTCTCAAATTTTTTCTAACAAAAGTAACTTCTTGGCTCTGCAAACAGTTTTGGATATCCAGTATTGACAGTTTTGGATATCCAATATTGTAGAGCCTTAACGTTTCAGCGATGATTCAACACATGTATTTCAGTCCTTGGACATGCAACATGTTGCGCAGGAGGAATACTGCAACCAGCACTGAACATTTTTCCAGTCAATGGTTGTATGGTTGGGAAAGCAATTATTGATAGATAATATTGCTCCTCAGACTTCCTTTATAGCTACCTGCTTGTCTGCACTCTAGATCTATCCTTCAGAGATACACACTGGAGATGATTAGGTCTTCAGGAAACATTAACAGCTCCTTAATCTTAGGAGGAGCTGTTAAGGGGGAAATTAAAAAGCAGAGAGCATTTTGAGTCCCTGAAATGACAGACTTCGGACCTGTCTGTATATAGCTATGGCAAGAACTTCATCACTGAGTCCAGTTTAGGAAGTAGCGAGAGATGAGAGAACAAATGTGTCAGGTGGGAGGGTGGTGGGAGAAGAAATGCTGTACATCACGCAACACATCATGTACATCACGCAATACATCATGTACATCATGTACCTCTCTTGGCTTTGCCTAGAGTGAAGGAAAAGATCAAATGCTAGACTAGAGCAGTGGTAGGAGACAGCAAAGCAGGAGGCATTCCTAAGCAGAAACACCCAGTTATGGTGTGGGAGCTGAATAGGGGGATATATGGACCTGGAGAAATAGGAAGTCCCTTTGAAGTTATTACTTCAAACAAGCTGCCAATGCAAATCACAGATGCTGCTTGCAACAAGAAGGCCTAAAAGAAGCAGGTGTCCAAGCAGTAGCAGCCCTGGGTAGAAACAAAGCTTAGCCAGAGCCTGTGCCCAGCACCCTGTTTTACTCCTCTGGAGGAGACAGCACTGTCCCTGGTTTGGATTAACCTGACAAACTCTTATTCTGGCTTTCCTCAGGACGATGCGTGGATCAAAGGGCCTGTGGTTTCACGATGCAAAGCGCTGAGGCACAATGGAGCCGACCATTCACACATGGCAGAAATCCCAGCAACGTAACTGGGGCTCACTGGCTCTTGTATATAACATGTTCAAGCCAATCTGGCACTTTGTATTAGCAGTTCCCTTCCTACTCTTCCCCAGTCTCCACGCTCCTAGGTCACACCTAAGAGCACTGATCTTGTATCGCACTTCAGATTACAGCTTGGGTGAGGAGGGGCTTTCATGGTGCTGGGTGGCATGGGTCAGCTCCAGCTGATACAGCCTTTGGAGACCCCCTCTGTGCTCTCTCCTCTCAGAATAGGCAGCTTGCAGCTTCCTGGAGGCAGCTTCCACCTTCCCAGTGGGGTTGTCCTCCACGTAACAGGTTTGGATGTCCTCTGTACCCAGGGTAAACTTTATCCCAGTACGCACATATAAATGCCATCTACCATCAACCCCTTGGATTGAAGTAAGAGCAAAGGTCTGAAGATACTGACCATGACGTGGGAGAGGTGGCAGGGTGTATTTTCTGCCCAGAGCTTGCATTGTGCTCATTGTGGTGAACACAAGTCATCTAGAGCTGTGACTGTGCCCTGGAGGGGAGAGGACAGCCAGCCTTTGGCAGAGATCATGCAGGAGCCAGGAAGGAGGGATGCAGTGATGAGGGCAAAGCAGACATGACATGTCCTTGAGTGGGCAGTGCCTTCAAGGACAGCCCCGGAGAGGCACCAGCAGCCTCTGCTGAGTCTGCCTTGGCTCAGAGCAGGAGGTGGTACCTCAGCACCTCTGCAGCCCTGCTTCCCCTCACCTCCTGCCTTGGGGGACTGCAGGAGGTGCGGCATGTGCATCCTGGGGAGCCGTGCAGACACCTGTAGTGTAGCACCATGACTAACATCTGGGCTGCCTATTTTAAAGGTCTGTGTTGGGAAATAGCACCATGTCCTTGTCACATTTATTGGATGAGTACTGCTTTGCTGCTGGTTTTCTTCAGTAGCTCTGGTGATTGTCCTGTAAGCAGTAGAAAGCCGAGGTGGAGCGAGAGGGAGATAAAGGCGGTGTGTGATATCCCTCGTGGGACAGGGTAAATGGCAGGAAAGAATGGGATAATGCCTTCAGACCTGTGAGCAAGCAGCTTTCAGGGGTTTTGCACAAAGCAGCCTGGCAGGGCATCCTCCAGGCCATGGCCCTCCAGCTTCTCAGGAATATGAGCAGGAAGATTCCAGTGGCCTTGGCTCTCTCTGATGCTGCTGCCCCCAGACCTCCACCACCTGCTCCCCCTTGCTTTCACAAATTGCATGCAGGATTTAGCAGGCCGTTGGGATCATGGTAAGGAAACAAGGATTAAACTCATCATGGACACCAGACAGGCTCCTCAATCACCCAGCAGCTGCCTGGGCACTAAGTGAAGGCATCCTGGTGCTGACTGAGGTCACTAGTCGGGAGTCAGTGCAGGCAGGGACAGACAGAGCAGGCAAGAATGAGGAGAGCTGCGAGTTCCCCCATGATGACCCATGGTGTCCCCAGCTGCACTGCTGCCGCCATCGGTGACTTCACAGGCTGCAAAGAGTGATGGTGATGCTGGTTGTTGTTGGAGGTGATGCAGAAGGCGCTCCAGAACACCTCAGATCTTGGTTACTGCCTTTATTGATATGAAGTTGATGGAATTTTAACAGCAGTATGGTTCAAAGCCAAAAACCTAACATAGACAGGTTGACGAGTAGAGAGGACAGAGGAACCTGAAGGTGATGATATTTTTCAGGAGGTGTAGAATATCGTTTGAAGAGCTCCACTTCCCCTGGTTTACATAAAATGCCCATTCAAAGGCGACGTTGGGGAACTTTTTGTTTCCATGAGAGGGTGGCAACTTCAGGGCACTTTCAGCTTTTGTCCTTTTAGTTTAGTTTTTGTCCTTCTTGGTTTGGGGGTTTGGGTTTTTAATCCACCAAAATGGACAAGATGTGAGGGTGCGCATTCCCACTGAACCCAGACTGTGTTTTTAAGGGATAAATGAGAAAAAAATCTGTGACCAGCTCCACTTTAAAGGCTGGGGTGGAAATGGCATCAAGGGGTGACAATAGATACCACCCTCGGTGGCACACACTGAGCCTTTGGTGTAACAATTGAAGTGGAAGGGTCCGGATTCAATCCTGGTCTCTCTTTCAGGTCACTGCCAAGCCAGGCAAAAGGCAAAGTAACACACTTGGATTCCAACAGGCAAACAGCAAGCTGCTCCTCCGTCCCTCTGGAGCAGCTGAGGTGTGGTAGGCAGCCACGCAAGCCGCATTGCATGCTTTCTGGGCAGCAAAGGGATGGAAATTCAGGCAAAATTGCCTCTCATGGGCGAAGGATTGCTGGTACCAGCAGTGCAAGGTCTGTTCTCAATGGTTTAGGAATGGAGGGTGCTTTCAGCATTCTGATGGTTTTAGTAATACATAATTTATACAAGTGCACTTCTGTTGCTCAACGAGAGGGTAGGAGAGCCCTGGCTGGCTCCTGCAGCTGTAAGAAGAAAAAGGTTGAATGGATCGTAATGCATTCAGAGAGCAGAAATTAGGTAGGAACAAAGTAACAGTTGCTGAGAACAATTTACCCTGGTCAAAACCATGCAGCTGGACTCTGTTTCCGAAGCTGAAGCTTCACAGCACAACAGAAGGAACCTGCCTGTGCTGGGCTAAGCCTTTCTGCTGTTGGATTTGATCCTCTGCCTGTGAGGCAATATTCTGCCTGCTGTAACCCTGGGCCTGATTCCTCCTCACACCTAAAAAACCCTAGAGGTTGTTCTCTGAGATTGTTTCCAGTTAAAATCCCAACAACTGGTTTCTGCTAGTGTGGAGTGGGGGAATTTCCTTGCAACCCGTTCCCACCCTCCCTTACAAATAAAGTCACTGCAATGCATCACGAGGCAGGCGAAAGCCAAGCATCCTTCTGAAGGCAAGGAAACCTTGGGAGGGTGAATAAACACAAACAAGAATTCTCCCTGCAGACAGCTTCCCGAGGTCCTCTTTATTATGCTCTAAGACTGCAAGTGAGCAGGAGTGTGAAACCCTGCTAAGCAAACAGCAAAGTTCTTGCCCTGAGAAGCTTAAAGCTGAGAGCATGAGCAGAGGACAGTGTGCTACAAGGCAGAGCAAACATAGTGGTGGCTTTATCTTTGTTAAGAGGACAAGGGGGAATGGCTTCAAACTGATTTAGATGAGATACTAGCAAGAAATTCTTCCCTGTGAGGGTGGTGAGGCGCTGGCACAGGGTGCCCAGAGAAGCTGTGGCTGCCCCATCCCTGGCAGTGTTCAAGGCCAGGTTGGATGAGGCTTGGAGCAACCTGGTCTAGTGGAAGGTGTCACTGCCTGTGGCAGAGGGCTGGAACTGGATGAGCTTTAAGGTTCCTTCCAACCCAAACCGGACTGGGATTCTGTGACCAAAAGAAAAATACAAGGGAAAAAAGAAAAAATGGTAAAAAAAGAGGAACAAGGGAGAAAAGAGAAAAATAAAGGGAGGGGAAAAAAAAAGGTTTAATGTCATTGGAGAAATGAAAAAGATGAATGGAAAGAGGGGAAAACCAGGCAAAACACACCAGCGCATGGGTGAGTGTGGATGTGTGAGCGGACCGGAAAGGGAAGTGAAACTAAAAGCAGACTTTACGTTTAAATTTAGGGTCTGGGGGGACTGTTCCGGGGGGAAACGAGAACTTTTCCCACCCGGCGAAGATGCTCTGGGCGGGATGCGGGGCCCGAGCATGGCAACCGGTGTTCCCGGTTGCCATGGGGAGGCGGGGCGGTGTTCCCGGTTGCCATGGGGAGGCGGGGCGGTGTTCCCGGTTGCCATGGGGAGGCGGGGCGGTGTTCCCGGTTGCCATGGGGAGGCGGGGCGGTGTTCCCGGTTGCCATGGGGAGGCGGGGCGGTGTTGCCGGTTGCCATGGGGAGGCGGGGCGGTGTTCCCGGTTGCCATGGGGAGCGGGGCGGGCGGAGCGGCCGCCGCTGCGCAGGGAGCAGCTGCTCCTGACACATCCCCCCGCTGCCATATTGTGTCCGCGCCGCACGGCTTCATGACCGCGGTGAGTGCAGCCGGCGCGCCCCCTCTCCCCCTCTTTCCCCCTCGCCCTCCATCCCCACGCCCGTTTTTGTTGCTTCCCCCCCTTTTCTTTATTTAGTTTTTGTGGTTTTCAGCGGTTTGGGGGTTGGGTTTTTTTTGTCTTTAACGTTCCGGACGGGTTTCGCGGGGGAACGGCGCGGCGGCTCCGCTGGTGCTTGGGGCGGGGGGGATGCTGCGACCCCTCTTACCACTCTCATTGCTGATGCGGGGCGGGGGGGGGGGAGTTGCGCGGTGCATGGGGACACCCCCCCCCCCCCTTCCACCCCGTTTCCCCGCAGCTCCTCCCCCCGGCGCGGCTCCGCGGAGCTTCCGCCCGCGGGTTTTTCCGCGGGTGACCCGGGATGACGCGGCCGCCGCGCGCTTGTTCCGCGCCACCGGGTCACCGCGGGAAAAGCCGCAAGCGGCTCCTTTAACTCAGCAAGCCCCGGCGGGTGTGTGTGTGTGCGCCGGGGAGCCACGTTGTCCTGTCCCCGGAGCGGTGGGGAGAGCCCCCAGGGGCGGGCAGAGGGGCTGCGGTTGGTGGAGGCGGGGGGGAGACCTCCTGGTGAGGATCCCACGTTTTGGGGTGAAACACTGGGAGCCGCTCATGAGGGGCTGGGATCTGCACGTGGCTCTTGGGAACGTTCCTGTGTTTCTTGGGGGAGGGGGGGGGTGGGTGTTCAGTGGAGCATCGGCTGAGCTCAGACACACCGATCCTCCCGGTCTGTGTGGGAGCCGGAACCGGCTTTAGTCCAGAAGGGTTTGGGTTCTGACATGGCCCAGACAAAGAGTAAAGAGGACAAAGAGGGAAACCAGAAGATAAGGAGTAATCTTGAGTGGGGCCGGATGAAGTCGCCTTGGTGCCTGCCGAGGGATGGGCATCATGTGAAAATGTAAAGTTAAAAATGATGAATTATGTCGGACTTGAGTGCTGTGAAGGTAGCTTGGTTGGGTTTGTGGCTAACCTGTGAAATCAAGGGAATTTTATCTATATTGTACTACGTATGTATATACATTATAGAATCACAGAATGGTTTGGGTTGGAAGGGACCTTAAAGCTCATCCAGTTCCAACCCCCTGCTACAGGCAGGGACACCTTCCACTAGACCAGGCTGCTCCAAGCCCTGTGTCCAACCTGGCCTTGAACACTGCCAGGGATGGGGCAGCCACAGCTTCTCTGGGCACCCTGTGCCAGGGCCTCAGCACCCTCACAGGGAAGAATTTCCTCCTAATGTCTCATCTCAATCTCCCCTCTGTCAGGTTAAAGCCATTCCCCCTGGTCCTGTCCCTGCAGGCCCTTGTAAAAAAAATATACGTACACCCACTCCAAATCATGTTATTGGTGGGCTTGCATTTAGATGGACTTTGGTAATGGTTGGGCTGCAATATGTTGACATGTGAATCATTTAACTTCTGCTGTGTTTCTTTGGATTGGGGTCTTCTTTTCCTTCTAGAAGCCTGGTGTGATGCTGTGTCTGTGCAAGAAGAATGGAGCTGGTGTAATGCCAGAGAACTTGAACTAGTTCAAAGTCAGTTTGGTGTTTGGTGTCTTTTTTGTCTTGGCAGGTGCCAGCTCGCATTCCCCAAGCTCTGCAGAAGGTAGTTGGGCACATCAGCTCTGAACTGCAGTTAACCCAGCACAGAGCTTGAGCTAATGAACTGAGTGCCCGGGTATGCTATTTCTGAGCCTGGCCACGTGAAACTTGGTTGATGTGTTTGTTGGCAACATCTAGGCCAGAGGATTGAGTGACCCTTTCTAGGTGCTGCTGCTGAGGCTGTGCTGGAGAAGTTCCACAGGGGTTGCTCAGCCCAGAAGTAAGATTATACCCCTTTTATCCAAAAAGGAACACCAACCAAGGAGTGTGCTGCCTCAACAGCTCCAAGCACCACAGATTTTCTCCTTGAGGAGCCTCCCCATGTCCTCTGTGCTGCTCGGGATGGGAGGCAGCTGCGTTGCCAGCAGCTATCTCGGTGTCAGGATGTGCCAGTCCAGTAAGTAATGGAGCAGCTACAGGGTTGTGTGATGGTCCCGCTGAAGGAGAAACTGCCTGGCGAGTGAGTGAGTGCCTGAGAAAGCAGACAGAGGCTTAGGTGAACGTCAGGCTGATTTTTACCATCTTCATTAACCACAGACTCTGCTTACTCAGTGCAGGAGACCCGAAAGCCTCACACCTAGAGCAAAGGCCAACTCTTTCAGTGAATGAGATAGTTTGGTACCTGAAGATGGGACATCTACCCCCAGAGAGGTGGTGGATGCACCATCCCTGGAGACATCCAGGGCCAGGCTGGATGTGGTTCTGGGCAACCTGATCTAGTTGAAAATGTCCCTGCTCACTGCAAGGGTTGGACTAGATGAGCTTTGAAGGTGCCTTCCAACCCAAACTATTCTATGATTCTGTGATTCTAAGAAGATGCTGTGTATGGATTCAGTTTAAACTGGTGAGAAAGTGATGCTGTTCTTGTGTGGAAATGTTGGTTCCTGTAAGAACAGCAGAGGTTTTTATGCTGGTTTCAGCTGGGGCTGTAATTCCACCTTCCTTCCCTGTTATTGCTCCTTGGTGACTGGTTATTTGGGTTCCAAGGAGCTGGTACAGATGAGAGGAAGTACCCCATGCATGCAGAAGACTGAATCTCACCAGTATGAACCGAACACCAGGACAATGAACCACTGCTGTGTATCTCTTGTGCTGTTCCCTTCAGTGGGGTAGTCCCACTGCACTGCCGTGGTGCAAAATGAGCTGTGTGAAGTACAGCTTTCCTTTCCCGGCTGTGAATCAATGAAAAAGGCCAGGTTGGATGCAGCTTGGAGCAACCTGCTCTAGTGGAAGGCGTCCCTGCCCGTGGCAGGGGGGTGGAACTGAATGAGCTTTAAGGTCCCTTCCAACCCAAACCATTCGATAATTCTATGAAACGCAACCTTTGGTGCCCATAAGTAAATGTTGTCAGTGATACAGATGGATGCTCACTGTCTTTTAGCACAAGTGGAAATCCTGCCCTTTTTCTTCCATCTGTCTCCTTGAGTTTTCTCTTTGTGGCCGTTGCTATTCCTCCACATCCCGTTCCTGAGGTGGGCTGTGTATAAGCTCAACTGCAGGATGCCAGCGCACTGATTGTAACCCTTCTGAGGGAAGCAGGTGGAGGCAGCGAGTGCCTCATTCCTAGTGCGTGTGCCTCGCTGCTCCACATCTGAAAGGGTGTTGGGCAACTTCCTGCGCCGAGACGCGGCCATCGGCGTGACTCATGTCAGCACACGCAGCTCTGTCTCTGGGCAGGTGAACACTTGCAGGCTGCAAACCCCATCAGCATCCCAGCGCAGCAGCCGAGAGGGCTGGTTTGGGTACGTGTGGTGTGTCTCCTTGCAGGTCCAGCCACTTCCTTGGCTCCCAGAGAAGATGCCTCTGCATAAAACAAGAAGACCCTGAGATGCTGCTTCACATTCTTTTTCTGGCTGGACTTCTGTGTGTGATACGTGTTTATTCATAGAACCACAGGATCAGTGCGCTTGGAAAAGCCCTTCAAGATCATCCAGTCCAACCATTCCCCAGCACTGCTAAAGCCACCACTAAACCATGTCACTGAGGGCCTCATCTACACTGTATGTGAACACTTCCAGGGATGGTGACTCCAGCACTGGCCTGGGCACCCTGTTCCAATGCCTGACTGCCCTTTCAGTGTAGCCTGAGGCCATTTCCTCTTGCCCCATCCCTTGTTCCTTGGGAGCAGAGACCAGCCCCCTCCTGGCTCCATCTTCCTGTCAGGTAGAGAGCAATAAGGTCTCCCCTGAGCCTTCTCCAGACTAACTCCCCCCAGGTCCCTCAGCCGTTCCCCATCACACTTGTGCTCCAGGCCCTGTACCAGCTCTGTTGCCCTTCTATGGCCCCACTCCAGCACCTCAATGTCTCTCTTGTAGCTGGGGGCCCAGAACTGAACACAGGATTCAAGGTGCAGCCTCACCAGTGCCCAGCACAGGGGGATGATCACTGCCCTGGCCCTGCTGGCCAAGCTATTGCTGATACAGGATACGATTCATTCCCTGTCATACTACGTGAGCAGTCTGACTTAGTGCATGCTGTGTGATGATGAGCTCTCCATCCCACCCTCATCATGGGTAAATGCACACAGTGATGCTCTAGGGTACTTGCAAAACAGAATTGAAGTCAGCAAGTGGCAGGCAGCTCACTCATGCATGCTTCAGGAATAAATTCCATCCTAGGGAAGAAATGCTGTCTGATGCCAGCCGCCGTCCGTATGACCCTGGGTACTCTGCCTCCTCCCTGTGAAACACGGTGGCTATGGAAGCATGAGGCTTGGGTTGCACCCGGTTTTGGGGAGCACTGCTGGGTGCTCCTCTGTGCTGAGTGCCTGCTGGCAACCAGGAGGCCTGGCTGTTGTGTCTGGGGTAGGAATACCCCTGTGACTGAGCGTACCAGGACCATTTCAAAAGAAGCCCAGAACTGGGGCAGATAAGAAGATTAATAGCAGAACTCAATGGTGTAGATTTTTGCTTTTTCTTTTTCCTAGTGTGTTCAAGCTTTTTTCTTTTAGGCTCAAACAAGACTTAGAGCTCTTTACTTCTTCCCTCAAAGCTTAGAGTATGTTGGGGACTGTGTTACATTTGCTACTGCTGCTGCAGAAGTTGCCCCCAACTCATCTTCTGCACCCTCTGTAAGGATCAGTTTATATGTAGTTTACTTCTATAATTAGTTTGGGTTTTTTTTTTTTGCTGCTGCTCAATCTTCAGGTTATCTACTTACACAGCTGAGTCTCCAATGTGCATCCTCTGAAAAGAGGATGGAGCCAGGCGGTGGCTGGTCTCTTCTCCCAAGGGATAAGTGACAGAACAAGAGGAAATGGCCTCAAGCTGCACCAAGAGAGGTTTGGATATTGGGAACAATTCCTTCCCCAAAGGGTGCTCAGGCATTGGAACAGGCTGCCCATGGCAGTGGTGGAGTCACCATCCCTGGAAGTGTTCCCAAACCATGT